AAGAATACAACACTTGTATTTATTTTTTCTTTTATTTTTTATTTTTTTCTCTCTCCAATAGAGAGAGAAAGAAAAAGAAAAGAAAAGAAATGGTACAGAAAAAATAAAGCACACAAAAAGGGGAAAAGATAGCACAAAGTGGAAAAAGATAGCACAAAGTGGAAAAGATAGCACACGGGTGTAGCACAGTACAAATTCCAGCAATATGGCGCGGAATGGCACCACACTGCGCCAGTTTACAAACTTTGAAGCGGACACTTGGAAGTGGCGCCAAGTAGCGCCGGTTTCTTGAAGAATTCCACGAAAAGGCAGTGGCGCCAAATTGGCACCGGTTTTTGGCAATTTTCCACAGTAGCACTGCGCCGAGTGGCGCCGATTTTTCGGACTTTGCACGGTGTTTTGGAGCGGCGCCTAGTAGCGCCACACCGGCGCCAACTGGCGTCGGTTTATGAGAAACAAGGTCCGCCTTTACGTCCGTGTTTTCTGAAGGACAATTTTGGAAGAATGAAAGAGACTTATAAATAGGATCCTCAAGACAGAATTAGGTATCCAGACCTATTCCGAAGACCAGAGACGACGGTGGTGCTCAGAGAGAGTTCATTGTTCTTCCATTCTTCCCCTTTTCATTTATGAAGGTTATGTTGAATATTGAATATTAAGCCATGACAATGGTTGGCTAGTTTATTTTATATTGTAGTTAGGGTCACAAACCCTATGTGAACCCTTGTTACGACAGATTGATTTATAATTGCTCGTTTATATAAATTATCTTTATCTTTACCTTGTGCGTAATTATATCTTCTTTTTTGGAATTGATCACTCTAGTAGTTGAGGATAGCTTGAGGGTTAGAACCCTAGATAGGAATATTGGGGTTTTGGTCTTGAAAGAGAGTAAGATAACAATTTATATGCATGCTAGGTATAGATGTATGTGTAATTGCAGATGCTTAAATTATTGCGTTCATTGCTTAATACCATGAGGAACATTGTAAGGTATTGGGGTTCCAATTGGGGTTAAAGGGTTAACCTTGCAAGGAATTGAGGGTTAACTATTAAATATTTTTAGATAATAACTTATCTGAGTAATTATATAAATAAGTATTGTAAATCAATCAAAAGTAAGAAGTGGGAATCATTCGGTGAGTGTACTCTAGCTACAATCCCTTCTCTTATTTTTACAACATCAATTGTTGTTTTATTTCTCTTAAACATAAAGTCAAAAACAAGTCTTTACTCTTAATTCTTATTGTTACTCAAAATCAACAACAATTTTTCCAACAACAACCGAGTTTTCCAACTTAAGGGGACTGGTTATTGTAGTACTTGGTTTACAATCCATGTGGAGACGATACTCTACTCATTCATTATATTACTTGTGCGATCGGTATACTTGCCGGAGAGCATCAACTACTTTTGTATAAAGAAGTCTATTTACTTCAAATGAAATTTAGAGTTGAATTTCTTTCCTAGATATTGGCTAAGCGGGTCCTCAATGTTTTCAGCACCTAATTAAGATTCTCACTAATTCCTTATAGCTGCAAAACATTACTTCCAAAATCCATTATTAACATACGTAAGAATTTCATCACTTGTCGGTTGAATTATTAACATGTGAGGTATTTGAACCTAAACACTCTATTCCTTTGTGAGTGGTCATTGTGTATTGGTGTTTTGAATACTGCACTATGTTTGGATGACTAATATGCTATTTCTGTGTGATTAGGGCATTGTTTCTGAATGTGTAGTCTAGAGCCAAAAGCCTCACCCTTTAATTATATCCCTTGGTCCCTATATTTGAGCTTGAAACCTTTCTTTTCTGATCAGGTACCCTGGAATTATAAGCCAAATTCCTTGTCCACCCTATATGGCTAGCTTAATGTTTAGCTAATTCTCATTAGCTCAGAAATATAGTGAGCTAAATAAGGCAAAGGGAAGTCGGTTGTAAGAAAAGAAGGGAAAGAAAAAGAAAAGAGGATCAGGATGTATAAAAAAATAAAAAGGGGAATTAGTGATGTTATAAAAAAAAGGGTTCTCTGTTAAAAAAAGAAAAAAGAGAGAGGCAAAAGTAAAAAAGAGAAGGAAGTTATACAAAAGGGAGGAGAGAGTCACTAGTTCCCTTTGTCTTGTTTAGGCAAAAAAAAAAAATCAGAAAAGGTAATGAGAATTAGTTAGACACTAAGGGTCAGCTTAAGTAGCCAAGTGACCAGAAAAACAAAGATCCTAGCCTTGTCTCATTACAAGCCTTATAGACCCTTTGATGGAGATAGCATATTGGACTTCAAGTTTCTAAATGGTAGTGTAGGTTGGAAGCATTTATGCATGATGATAATGAGTGAACTTCCTTATAAAAAGAAAGAAAGAGTGTGATTGATTAAATATTTTTGGAAATGAATTCAGTGGAATGTCAATAGAATCAGTTTAAGTTAAGGGTTGCAACTATTTGAGTGTGCATGAATTTTTGATTGAATGCTTCTATGATTGTTGATTGACTGCAGTTGGATAATTAATTTGATGTAGGAATTAGTTAACATTAAGCCTGATCAATGCTTTAAGAAGTGTTATGTTTTGCATAGACGGTTGATAAATTTAACTAAATTATTAAAATTAAAAATGTGTTGTTATGTGATAAGTCCATGATTTGTGACTTAAAACATGTGGTTTGATGTTAAAATGGAAATGAAAAGGATATCTTTTGTTAATGAAAACCCCAAATATTGCATAAAAATGAAGGATTCTGATTTTGAGTGCTAATGGGCTGATTTTATATGATTCAGACCCAATTGGTGTTAAATCTACAAGAAAAGAAGAACAGAAAGAAAAGCTTGGGCTGAGTTTAAAATACAAGTCATTAAAGGAAGAATGGGCCAGATGAAACAAAGCTGATCAAAAGCCCAACTTGAAGAAAGAAGGAAACAAAATGAGAAAAGCGCAAGTCAGAAAAGAAAGAAAAGAAGGAAAAGGGAATGAGAAGCAAGAATCGACTCAGTAGCGTGGAAAGTGAAAGAAGAAAAAAATTCTAGCACAGCAAACCGTCCAAGCAGACCCACCTCCATCTCAAGCCCTCCATCACGGTTCTTTCCTTGAATCGAACCAACAAACCGATACACCCTCTGATTTTCGCTCAAGACACAGAACCCTAACCCTACTCACGGTTCATTTCTTCAATCAAACCAACCACAACACAAACCCTACCCGATTTTGGTGCGACAGAGAAAAGTCCAAACAAGTCCCTCAATCGACTTGATGAGCTGGAGGTTGTTAGTAGTGGTGGCTGGAGATGCTTTTGTGGTGCGTTGCTAATCGTGCAAGGGACACCCACGATCGAGTGGAGCGAGGAGCATACGTACGTTTTGAGGAGGTGATTTTGGATCAGCTATAAAGGAGGAGATAAAAGCATTTGTAAGGCTCTCTCTCCTCTTCTTCTCAACTTCTTCGCTGAGTTTATTTTTCTACTCTTTGGATATTTTTATGTTCTTTGTTTTTTATTTTTTAGTATTTTTATTTGTAATTTTTTGTGAGCACTGCTTCAGGGCTATCTGCTGTTGATAGTTCCTGCATTTTATTTTTGTTAGTTGTACGTTGTAATTTGTTGTTTTTATTATGGACCTTTGCTGTATGTTAGCTCTTCAACCTGTGGTGATGAGCTAACTTCCTTAAAGTTGGGTTGAAAGAGTACCCAGAACTCGTTTGTTATTAGTGATGTTTTGAAGTTTAAAGTGTTGATTCCAGTTTGTTTACTGAGCGTTTTTATATGCTGAGTTTATTATGTGATGATCACACATAGGTTACTCCTAGTGGTGTGAGATTATTGGGAAATAACTCCCACTAGACCCCACTATGAGCACATGGAAAGTTGAGAGAGATATCTCTCAATGGATATAGCTCCAGGGATAAAGTTACCCCCATGTAACTTGAGGAAATGGTACTTCAAGATCCTATGATAACAGTGACATAGGGATATGTCATTCTGTTGTTATTGGAAGAAAATTGTTGTTGGGAAACAATAGTTATTTTAGTATTTTCGTTAAGATGGAAGCAATAACTATTTTCTGTCAAAGCATCCTAATGGCAAATGAGGGAAGGGGAAATTGACACCCAACTTGCCTCCAAATTCTGTTTTCAAAACCCATCTTTGTTATCCTTTTGTATTTTCGTCCAAATCTGAGTTAACTTTTTGTTTTTAAAACTTAAAAGAAAAGCATAAAAATTTTATAAGTTTTCCATTTACTTAATTTTACAGTCAGTAAGTAAAGAGTCTTTCACCAACTAAAATCATCATTTCCAAAAAGAAAAAGAAACTTTTATCAAAAATATTTTCAGTATACTTGAGTTAGAATAGCAGTAGTATTTAATTTGATTTTATATTATTTTTGGTTATGTTTAGCAATTACCAATTTATTCCAAGTTAAAACACAAAAGATCCTTGTGGGAACGATAACTGGGAACCATAAAAAGCCCTATATTACTTGTTAATGCGTATACTTGCGCGCATACTTGCACAACTGTTAGCAAGACAACAAGATTTTGGCGCCGTTGCCGGGGATCGATAGCGTACATTTGTAGAATTCAGTGTGATTGCTGATCTGAATTAGTTTATTTTTTTGTTTTTATTTTTAGATTCCTTTTAATTCTGTCTTCTTTATTGTGAACTGTTGTTGTTGCAATTTGGGACTTTTCTGTTTGGCAGGTTTTTGTTTGTTTATTTATTTTTTTAACACAAAACTGAATAGTAATCTAAGTTGGTGCTAGTCAGATTTTCCTGTTTTAGTTAAAAAGGGTGCATGAGTGCAACTCCACACTCTTTCTTATAAGCTTTTGATTCAGAACCTGAAAGGACATTTAGAGTTAGGAGAAGAGCCCAAAGAGCACATAGGCAAATTCCACTTCTAGAAGTTGAAGAAATAGAGGATTTACGAAGTGTAAATGGGAATGGAGAAGGAGAAGGAAGACCAGAGAGGGTAGTGATCCCGCCAATAATAGATGACAATGATAGGTCCATGATGGACTTCATCATACCTGTGCTGGATAAGTTAGATCCAAGTATTGCCCAACCTGTCGTGTTCACTATGCTCCAAAATATGGGGCAATTCCATGGGTTGTTGATGGAAGACCCACACAAGCACCTTAGAAATTTCATAGAAGTGGCCAACACTTTTAGGAATCCTAAAATCTCGGATGATGTGCTGAGATTGAAGCTCTTCCCTCATTCACTGGCTGATAAAGCCAAAGAGTGGTTGAACTCCCTTCCATCCAACTCCATAACTAATTGGCACACACTAGCTGAGAAATTTATCATGAAATTTTTCCCATCCAACAAGATAGTGCAAACTAGATGTGATATCACCAACTTCATGCAGAAGGATGGTGAGACCTTAGTGGATGTGTGGGAGAGGTTTAAAATCCTTCTTAAGCAATGCCCCAACCATGGTTTGCCCTCTTGGGCAGTGTTACAGACCCTTTACAATAGCCTGAATACTCAAAACAGAGCCTTAGCAAATTCTACTGCTAATGGCATGTTTATGTCCATGTCCTTTAATCAAGCCTATGAGTTGTTGGAACAAATGACTCAAAATTATGCCCAATGGCCTGAAGAGAGAAATCAGTCAAGGAGAGTGACTGGTTTGCATGAGGTAGATCCTGTAAGAACCCTTTCAGCCAAGTTTGATGCACTGCCCACTTTAGTAAAAACCCAAGGACAAGCCATTGAGGCAAGGTTGTCTCAGCCTCAAGTTCCAATACCCCAACCTCAAGTCAATGCTGTGAACACAGGTGAAACTTGTGTTTTCTGTGGTGGACCCCATTTGTTTGGTAGCTGCCCATCCAACCCAGAATCTCTCTTTTATGCAGGGAACCAAAATAGGAACCAAAATAATTTTTCCACTAATTTTAATCAAGGATGGAGGCAGAACCAACAACCTCAATATTTCCAAGGGCAAGGGCAGCAAACTGGACCCTTTAATGCCCAAATCAGACCACCTTTTCCTCCCAAAACTTCCAACAACCCCCAAGGCAGCAAGCTGCTGCTCAGTCTTCAGCCTCATTTACTTAAAACCAAGTTGCTGAGATGCCTACCTCTTCAACCTTTTCCTTAGAGGCTTTGTTGAGGGAGTATTTGGTTAAGAATGAGACTAAGCAAAACAGCTTGGAAGCTATTGTGCAAAGTATTCCTGCATCTTTGAGGAATTTAGAATCCCAACTAAGCTGTTTAGCAAATACTTTGAATAGCAGACCACCTGGTACTTTGCCTAGTAACACTGAAGAGCCTAGGAGGAATAATGAGCAATGTCACATGATAGAGCTTAGGAATGGCAGATCTGTGAATCAGCCAGAACCTGTGGTTAGACCTTCCACATTAAAAAAAAAGAGAAGAGGAAAAAGTGCAGCAGGAAAAAGATAAAAATTATGAACCTGTTCAGCCACATGTTGTCCATGACAGCCCCCAAGGGGCTGCAAATAGTGATCATCTGCTTGTTCTGGTTGAACCAGAAATTCAGACCCCAATAAACCCATCTTTAGGGAATATTTCTATGGAAAAATCCATTCCAAAGGGTCAAACATCTAAACCAAGTAGTGAGACACCTGTTGTCTCTAATAGACCTCCACCACCATTTCCTCAAAGGCTTCAAAAGCAGAAGCAAGATAACCAATTTAGGAAATTCCTTGACCTCTTAAAACAACTTCACATCAATATTCCATTTGTAGATGCATTAGAGCAGATGCCCACTTATGTGAAGTTCATGAAAGAGATACTTTTTAGGAAGAGGAGGTTGGAAGAGTTTGAAACAGTGGCTCTTACTCAAGAGAGTAGCAAATACTTGCTGAGCAAGTTGCCTCCCAAATTAGAAGACCCAGGCAGTTTTACAATCCTTTGCACCATAGGTGACCATTACATAGGCAGAGCACTATGTGACTTAGGTGTTAGCATTAATTTGATGCCCATGAGTGTCATTAAGAAGCTCAAAGTAGGAGAGCCTAGCCCCACAATTGTCACTTTACAATTGGCAGAAAAGTCCCTAGTATATCCTGAAGGTAAATTGGAAAATATTTTAGTCAAGGTAGATAAATTTATTCTACTTGCTGACTTCATAATTTTAGATTATGAGGAGGATAGGGAGGTGCCAATAATCTTGGGGAGAGCATTTTTAGCCACAGGTGGGGTTGTAATACATGTGAAAGAAGGTGAATTGACCATGAATGTAAATGGTGAGCAAATTAAGTTTAATATCTTAAAATCCATGAAGTACCCAAGAGAAATGGAAGAGTGTTCTAGGATAGATGTGATTGATGTTGCTGTCTAGAAAATTTTTATTAAGGCAGAATTAGTGAACCCATTAGAATCCACTGTTTGCGAGAGCTTGGAGGTTAGTATGAAAGATGTTAGAGGAATAAATCCATCCTATGGTATGCATAAGATCCTCCTGACTGACCCAAACAACAGCTCTAGAGAACAGCAGAGAAGGTTGAACCCAATAATGAAGGAAGTTATGAAGAAAGAGATCATGAAGTGGTGGGATACAGGGCGACTAGCTCTACCTTTTAATTCACAACTAAGGCTAATTCCTATGAAGCTAAAGTCTGGATGGTTAGGACCCTTTAAAGTTAAAATCTTTTTGCATGAAGTTGTGAAAATTTTGGATGAGGAAGATGGTAGAAAATTCAAGGTTGAGAAAAAAAGGGTCAAACACTACTGGGGAGATGATAGGGAGAAGGTTTCTTTCTTCCCAAGTGAGCCTGATTGAAAATGATCAAGCAAAGAAAGCAAAAAGTCTAGCTAAAGACTATAAACTAAGCATGTTAGACTTTTTTATTTTTCTTTTTTGTTGTGTGTTTTCTGTGACTCGTTTATTTCTTTGTTTGCTGCCTGTTATCTAAAAATTAGTTTAAATAGTTTGCAAAATAGTTTTTTTTTTTTTAAAAAAAAAACAAAACAAAACAAAAAACGAAAAAGAAAAAGAAAAAAAGAGAGCATATGACATTGACACTTTCGTCACTCTTATTACAGGTGTTAAGTGCAGCCTTGGCTGAATTCTAGCAGAGGATCAGGTTGAGCAATTTCAAGTTAAGGCAGTAGGTCCTCCTCCCCATCCTACCAAAAAGGAGATTACACCATCCACTTCAAGAAAAAGAGGAAGACTGCTAAATAGGGCCAGAACCTCTTCTGGTCCCAGGTTACTTGTTCCTAATTTTGTTACTCTTTTTCTTGGTAACCTGTTTCTGCAACAGTGAGGACACTGTTCATCTTGAGTTTGGGGGTGGTCAATGCTGATTGAAACTTTTGTTTGGCTATCTTTTGTTTTGTTTTGATGATTAATGGTTGTTTATCTTGTTTTTGGTGTGATGTTAGCTTTGTCTTTAGTTGCTGTTTTGGGATGAATAAAAAAAAAAGATTCTCTTATTTCAAGACTTTGCGCATAAAATAGCAGTAGATGAATTCTGATTAAGGAGCTTGAATTTTTTAGAAAATGCTCAGCTGTCAGTAGTGTGGATATAGAATTGAGAGAAGAGTGTTTCAATGGCTAAGGGATGATATCAGGAAAAAAGTGATAATGTTAATGGACTAAGGCAGGGAAGAAAAATTGGATCAATAGGTGATTGAGATGGTAATTGAACACAGTGAGGATTTGGGCTTAAACAGATGATTTTTTTTTTTGTTTCTTGAGAGATCTTCACTTGGGTAGATGAGGCAGAACTTGGCCTGATGCTTAGGTAAGTAAGTGTAACACTTGTTTAGGTTTGAAATGATAAGGGCATTCTGTTCATATAGCCTTGTTAATCCAAAAAGCCATCCTGGAAATATTACCTTTGGAAACCCCTTTGTGCTTGAGCCTTGTTTTAGTGTAGCCACAATGAAACCCATCCATAGTCTCACCTTACCATGTAGTTGTGATGGAAAACAAGAAAGAAGAAAGAAAAAAATCATTAGGCAAGTTACTGTTGGCTGAAGAAAATTGTATAGTGCTGCTGAGAACTAAGTGTTATTTTTCTGATGCAGTTGTTAAAAAAAAAATTTGAATAAAAATTTGTGAATAGAAGAAAAAGAAAAGGTACTCAGCAGTAGGAAAAGTAGCCACTAAGACTAATAGACCAATGCCTTTGATAAGTGCTGAATTTTTTCCATCATAATTACTTAGCCATCATTCCCACAGATACCCCACCTATACCTCAGCCCAAGTACAACCCTGGCAAGTCCCTTTGATTTAACCTTAACTTGTTGTTGCACTTAGGAAGCATGAGCATCTTGTCAAGGCTATTCCTAGTGAGGTATGGAGTGAAACAGATCCCTGAAACACTGAGTGGGAATGAGAGGAAAGTGAGCCATTATAACTGTTCTCAATTACTTGTTGTGGTGATTTTATTCCCTGTGGTTAAGAAGTGAAAAATCAAGATCTTCTCTGATTGTTATCCCATTAGGCATTGAGTACATGTGTGGATATGGATTTGCACACTGTTTGTTGAGTGATTTTGATGAATTGAATGTTTACTCAAGCTGCTTGATTGGTTGATTCAATAACTGTTGTTTTCATGTACAAAGTTTGTGAATTTATGTCATGAGTTTAGTTAGTGAACTTATCTTGAAAAATTTGTTTGATTGGAAATGAGGTTACTTGTGAGGATAATAGTTGATACATAATCATGCTTATTGTTTTGCTGATTGGAAGTGAATTTGTTCCTTGGGGACAAGCAACAATGTAAGTTTGGGGGTGTGATAAGTCCATGATTTGTGACTTAGAACATGTGGTTTGATGTTAAAATGGGAATGAAAAGGATATCTTTTGTTAATGAAAACCCCAAATATTGCATAAAAATGAAGGATTCTGATTTTGAGTGCTAATGGGCTGATATTATATGTTTCAGGCCCAATTGGTGTTAAATCTACAAGAAAAGAAGAACAGAAAGAAAAGCTTGGGCTGAGTTTAAAATACAAGTTATTAAAGGAAGAATGGGCCAGATGAAACAAAACTGATCAAAACCCCAACTTGAAGAAAGAAGGAAACAAAATGAGAGAAGCCCAAGTCAGAAAAGAAAGAAAAGAAGGAAAAGGGAATGAGAAGCAAGAATCGACTCAGTAGCGTGGAAAGTGAAAGAAGAAAAAAACCCTAGCACAGCAAACCGTCCAAGCAGACCCACCTCCATCTCAAGCCCTCCATCACGGTTCTTTCCTTGAATCGAACCAACAAACCGATACACCCTCTGATTTTCACTCAAGACACAGAACCCTAACCCTACTCACGGATCATTTCTTGAATCTAACCAACCACAACACAAATCCTACCCGATTTTTGTGCGACACAGAAAAGTCCAAACAAGTCCCTCAATCGACTTGATGAGCTGGAGGTTGTTAGTAGTGGTAGCTGGAGATGCTTTTGTGGTGCGTTGCTAATCGTGCAAGGGACACCCACGATCGAGTGGAGCGAAGAGCATACGTATGTTTTGAGGAGGTGATTTTGGATCAGCTATAAAGGAGGAGATAAAAGCATTTGTAGGGCTCTCTCTCCTCTTCTTCTCATCTTTTTTGCTGAGTTTATTTTTCTGCTCTTTGGATATTTTTATGTTCTCTGTTTTTTATTTTTTAGTATTTTTATTTGTAATTTTTTGTGAGCACTGCTTCAGGGCTATCTGCTGTTGATAGTTCCTGCGTTTTATTTTTGTTAGTTGTACGTTGTAATTTGCTGTTTTTATTATGGACCTTTGTTGTATGTTAGCTCTTCAACCTGTGGTGATGAGCTAACTTCCTTAAAGTTGGGTTGAAAGAGTACCCATAACTCGTTTGTTATTAGTGATGTTTTGAAGTTTAAAGTGTTGATTCCAGTTTGTTTACTGTGCGTTTTTATATGCTGAGTTTATTATGTGATGATCACACATACGTTACTCCTAGTAGTGTGAGATTATTGGGAAATAACTCCCACTAGACCCCACTGTGAGCACATGGAAAGTGGAGAGAGATCTCTCTCAATGGGTATGTCTCCAGGGATGAAGTTACCCCCATGTAACTTGAGGAAATGGTACTTCAAGATCCTATGATAACAGTGACATAGGGATATGTCATTCTGTTGTTATTGGAAGAAAATTGTTGTTGGGAAACAATAGTTATTTTAGTATTTTCGTTAAGCTGGAAGCAATAACTATTTTTTGTCAAAGCATCCTAATGGCAAATGAGGGAAGGGGAAATTGACACCCAACTTGCCTCCAAATTCTGTTTTCAAAACCCATCTTTGTTATCCTTTTGTATTTTCGTCCAAATCTGAGTTAACTTTTTGTTTTTAAAACTTAAAAGAAAAGCATAAAATTTTTATAAGTTTTCCATTTACTTAATTTTACAATCAGTAAGTAAAGAGTCTTTCACCAACTAAAATCATCATTTCCAAAAAGAAAAAGAAACTTTTCTCAAAAATATTTTCAGTATACTTGAGTTAGAATAGCAGTAGTATTTAATTTGATTTTATATTATTTTTGGTTATGTTTAGCAATTACCAATTTATTCCAAGTTGAAACGCAAAAGATCATTGTGGGAACGATAACTGGGAACCATAAAAAGCCCTATATTACTTGTTGTTGCGTATACTCTTGCGCATACTTGCACAACTGTTAGCAAGGCAACATTATGTGACTGTATTTTGAGCTAACAGACTATTTTCTGAGTGAATGTTTGTCTGATTGATTGAGGGCAAGCAATTGCTTAAGTTTGGGGTATTTTGTTAGCACTAAATTATATATATACATATATATATATATATATATATATATATATATTGTATTATTTTATGTTATTTTAAATTTCTTTGGGTTGACAATTACAGGAAAATGGGCTGAAAGAATGTGAAATATGGCCCAATTCAAAATAAGGAAGTAACCAAGCCCAAGTGAATTTATTTTTACTGATAAATGTAATTATTCAATTTTTTAGGAATTGCTTTTGAAGCAGCCACGTGGATCAAATTCAAGGAAGTGAGAACATATTTTCACCATTGGATGAACAAGAAGAGTAGACGGCTACTAGCTTTTAGAATTTTTAGTTTTTAGTTATTTTTGTGGGTTGTAAAACATATACAAATTTTCTAGATCTAGAATTTCAATCTTCGTTATTGCTTGTTTTTAGAAGACTCCGAGTGTTGAGAGATTGTGTTGAAGGCTGAATGCATTATTCTTCTTCTTGAGCTCGAAGTGCAGTGACAAAGTATCTTTGCCGGAAGGAAGAATCAATGGTGCATGCAAGTGAAGTTTAAATCTTTCTAGTCCTAGATAGTAATTGGTGCTTTTGATTTGTACGATTGACCTTGATCTCATTTCTTAATGCATG